CCCCAAAACCCCAAAACCCCAAAACCCCAAAACCCCAAAACCCCAAAACCCCAAAACCCCGCTAGAGCTTCACTCTATTGATAATCGCTCAATTTGCACATTAACTATAATATCGATAATTCTAAGAAACTGTCAAATTTAGGCTCTTTTCTGGAAATATAGCTCATGTCTCCACACTTCATCCAATAGTTCTATCTCTTCCAAACTCAGTTTTCCGGTACACCCATGGCCCCTATTGGTCTCTAATCTCAGGTTTGGGTGTTCACCAACCTACGAGCTTTCACCCAGCTTCTGAGTGACTAATAAGATCTAGGTAAACCGCATTACCAGCCACTGAGACTTGACCTATAGAGATTTCAGGAAGAGAATTTGGGGGGTTTGGCAGTTGAAGTGAAAGTAGGCGTAGAGGGCTGGGATATCATTTTTAAATCTGATTGGTTCAAAAGTCTATAGCATCGCTGGGAGGTCTACCATTTATGAATTTCAGCTTCCATTCTGACTAATTTAGAGAAAATCTGGACTGATCAGCGACCGTTTTATTGATCCACATTCCATGTTCAGAAGTGTTAACTTCATCAGAGACAGATTACTTTTCCAGCTTGAAATAAATTTCCAAACCCAAGTTGTTGTCCCATTAGTGTGAAGGGGTTGAAGTCATACTTACACATCAGCAATTTCCAGGGAAACGGGGAGATGTCATTATTTTTCCTATAGTCTGTCTCTACATAGGATTTGATAGATGATAGGAATTTTCTTGTTCTTCCTCAGAAGTGTAAATCTACTGAGAAACGCATTTGAAACCAAAATCCTTTTTATTTGCCATTTTTCCCTTGAACTCTTTGATACCTACAACCTATGTTAACTAGAAGAATAGTGGGAGTAGGAGGCTTCTAGCCTTCTGTATTCCTCTCAAATCCTGGCTAGCCTATAATTTAGAAGAGCATGTTTGAGTCTCTATGCTGTAATGTTACATGAAAATCTGTCATCTATATGCTAATCGTCAGGTTGATACCCGGAGCTACAAGCAGCAGAATAGCTATTGGCTATTAGCCTTTCATAGAGACTTATCAAGGCAACTTTCCAGAGATTGAAGCATGAGAATAAATCCAGTTCCACTCTTTATTTGCATCATTTTAGATGATAATAATAATAAGTTATTTAATTTATTTATTGAGAAGACGCTGCTAATGGGGTTTTGGGGTTTTGGGGTTTTGGGGTTTTGGGGTTTTGGGG